GGATTTAGAGCATGATATTACCTAAAGCCCCTGCTAGGTGTTAGGAGAGGTGCGTTTGGGTCTGCGTCTGCCTGTGTGTTCCTGTGTGACTTTGAGCAGGGCTGTTTTCCTCTGGACCTCATTGCCTTGACTGCAAACTTCTTGTTCGGCCTTGGTCATGTTAACTTGACTTTTTGGAGCTCCACCATAAAACAGTGTAATATTTGCTTTAGAATATTAGATGGTGTATTTAAACTCTTCAAACAGTATCAATGCACAGAAGCTACAGAGTAAAAAGTTACCACCCTATTCATGGCTTGGGAAACCAGGCCACACTGTCCTGTACACTTCTTGAAGTAGCCTAGCCTGATTCTGGGGACAGTCACACTTGCCAAAAGTCAGGCCCCAAAGTGTGGCAGAGACAGAGCTCTCTAGAGCTCTCTCAGAGCTACACCCAACCTGTCTCTTCCCCTTCCAGGCTGCAGTAAAGAGCGGCATTCACCGGACCGTCCATGCTGGGGAGGTGGGCTCTGCCGAGGTTGTGCGAGAGGTAAGGAGCCAGCGACCCTCGGCCTCTTCTTCTGGTTTCTGGTTCTGTCCCTGTTCCTGGACTCAGCGCCTTTCTGCTTCTCCACAGGCTGTGGACATACTCAAGACAGAGCGGGTGGGACACGGCTACCACACAATCGAGGATGAAGCCCTCTACAACAGGCTACTGAAAGAAAACATGCACTTTGAGGTGAGATGCCAAGGCAGAGAGAGAGAGGGAGAGAGGGGGGGGGAGAGAGAGAGAGAGAGAGAGAGAGAGAGAGAGAGAGAGAGAGAGCTGTCTCTGGCTACCCTATGCCTTTCAGACAGGCAGGACAGGCGGGCTGAGTGGGAGTGGCCACATGGTGGAGGTTTCATGGGGCTTGATGCAAGGAAGCTGTGGAGAATAGTACCTCAGCAGGTGGCTCTGCCCTGACCAGTATGGCCCCGGGCCCACTATGCCAGCCAAACACCTGCCCCTTGCAGGTCTGCCCCTGGTCCAGCTACCTCACAGGCGCCTGGAATCCCAAAACGACGCACGCAGTTGTTCGGTGAGATCTGATCCCTGGAACCCATTTGGTTTTGATCTGGAAAGGAAGGGGAGGGAATGGGGACCTGACCATCTTGGATCTTAGTAATGGGGTCACTCTGGCTGGCTGGGAAGCAGGCATTGCTGTCCTTGTCCAACAAATGAGGCCTGTGAAGCTCAGAGGTTCCAACCTGACTCCTCACCCACTAACTAGTAGAGCTGGGGTCCTATGGTTCAGCAGCAGTGAGCTTCTACATTGTTACCCCACTCTGTCTCTCAGGCTGTGGGCAGATGAGTCTCATCTGTCTGCATATTTGCTATGATTGACGCTGTTGGGTATTCCCCTGAAGGCTAGCTTGAGGCTTTCCCTTAGAGCACCTCTCTCATGCTACCTGGTTCCCATCAGCAACTAAAAACAAGGCCTTCCTGTCCTATGACCAGGTCCTTATGAGGCCTCAGGAGAACAAAGCTGTCTTTTCCTAAGGCAGGATGCAGACGGCAAGAACTTGGGCTGACAGTGGACAGGCCAGCACTGGTCTGTCAGCCAAGCTTCCACAGATGGAAGGACTGCACTGATAACAAGGGCTCATGAGCTTCCTTAGCACATGGGTGCATGGTACCTGCGGGACTGCCACGTGGCCGCTCTAGGAGGCATGTGGGTCTATAGCACACTGGAGGGAGAAGGTGCAAATCATCCATGCAAATACAAAGGTTGAAGAACTAAGACTCGGAGATGGCGGATCAAGATGAGGAGGGAGAGAACCTGTAACAGTGACATTAGGAACAGGCAGAAACAGAAGAAAGCCAAAGATATGTCAAGGTGTCCAGGGCCGGTAGACACCTCAGTGTGTAAAGCGTCGCTGCGCAAGTGTGAGACCACGGTCCAGATTTCTAGCACCCACAGGAAAAGCCAGGCATGGCCATGCACACCTGTGACCTTAGTACTAGGGAGGGGAGTGGAGACGAGTGGGTTGCTGGCCTCAAAATAGTGAGCTTCAGGTTCCATGAGAGACCTTGTCTCAAAGAAGTAAGGTGGGGACTGCCAGAGAAAGACACCCAACATCCTCCTCCAGCTCTGTGCACCCCTGAACACAGGCATACACACAGAAAACAAAAACAAAAGTTTACAATAATTTTTTTAAAAAGTATGAGGTCAGAGATACCCAGGAATAGTGTTTTGAGAAGAGTCAAATGTCAGATTCTGGGACTGGGGAGATGGCTCAGAGGGTAAAGGTGCTTTTCCACAAAGCGTGACAACCTGAGTTTAATCCCAGGAACCGTGACAACTTGAGTTTAATCCCAGGAACCTATATGGTAGAAACAGGAAACCGACTGTCACAAATTGCCCTTTGACCTCCAATCAGGCTCCATGGCACACTTAAATAAATAAGAATTTGGAAGTGTTGAATACTGCTATCCAAGCAAGTAAGGTTGGAGCTAGCAGAAACCAATCAAGCTCAACAAGATGGCTGGTTGGGTCGTGCCAGGAAGGCAAGGGACTGCGGACTGGGAGAGGAGGCTAGGATGCTAGCCATGCTCCAGTACTGAGAGAGGGAAGACTAGACAGACAGCATGGTAGCTTAGGGGGCTGCTGCTTTCCCAGTTTTCCAAATCGCCATCTCCCTGGCTGTCACCTCATGCCATCCTGCCTTTGGCTCTGAGCTGGCTTTAGAGAAGTTTCCAGTGTTTTCTAAATGTTTCCTCTTTAATAGGAGAATGCAACCCTTTGCATTGTCTAAGGTTGTATAAAGATCGAAGGAGGGAGCCGGTGGACAGGCGGTGATGGTTCTTGGAGTAAAGAAGCTCTCTCTTTTCTTCCTGCCTGGCCCCTCCCCCAGCTTCAAGGATGATCAGGCCAACTACTCACTCAACACGGACGACCCCCTCATCTTCAAGTCCACCCTGGACACTGACTACCAGATGACCAAAAAAGACATGGGCTTCACTGAGGAAGAGTTCAAGCGACTGGTGAGTGCGTGTGGGCTGTGAGCCTGACACTTGGCCCAGGTGGCATACGTGCTCACCGGTATGCTCGTGTATACGTGTGTGCATGTACTGTGTGTACATGGACTGCCTCAAACCTCTGACCAAGAATGGGCTGGCCTCAGCCTAGCACCAAAAGTCTTCCACAGAGATGATTTGGCACCAGCATCCTGGCTGAGGGACCAGGTAGCTTAGCCTTTACTTGGGTTGAGCTCCTTAGGGGACCTCTCTCTCAAAAGAGATCTGTGAAAATTTTTGTGACATGTATTTAGGTTGTTCCTAGGCTGAGACCTTGGTCTTAGGTTCTGATGTCCTGAGTGAATCCCTGCAAGGGCCTGTGCCCCACCTCCAGCTTCCTCACATCCCACACTGAGTATGGGGCCCGTGGTCCCCACTACGATGTCCCTTGCCCTTGCTGACAAGGCTGCGCCCTTCCTTGTGTTTTGATTCCATGTTTTTCCCTTCTAGAACATCAACGCAGCAAAGTCAAGTTTCCTCCCAGAGGAGGAGAAGAAGGAGCTTCTGGAACGGCTCTCCAGAGAATACCAATAGCCACCACAGGCTGACGGTATGCTTCTGCATGGGCACAGTAACCACCCCACCCTGCCCCTCAACTTCGTGCGTGACCTGTGGCAGAAGTCCTTGGGAGGGAGCACACCCCCTGCAGGGTTGCAGCCACCACCCTACACTGTCCCTCTACAACTTTCTGTGTGGCTTGTAGCAAAGCCTTTTGGAGAGTGGGGACAGCCCTGAGAATAATGGGGACCGTCTGGCTTCTGGGCAGTGGTCAGCTTCTTGTCCAGGTGGCTATTTCCTAATCAGGAAATTTCCTAATATTTCCTAATATTTCCTGTCAGGCTAGGCTCTCTGAAGACTACTCTCAGCCATCAGGACAGGCTGGAGTGCGACCTGAACAGTGGTTGGCCCAGTCCCTGTCCCATGAGTCCCTTCATTTCCTTATGGCCTTAGCAAGCCACACATCCCCTTGCTTGAAGCCCCTGACTTGCTGTCTACGGAAGGAAGTCACTCTCTGGGCCAGGAATTCTGTGCTTTCTACGACTCCTTATATGTTATGACATCTGACCTTTCTATTTCTCTGACTTGACCAGCAGGGCAGGTCCCCTGATGATGGCAAGGCCACTTCTCTGAGCCTCATCCTGTGGATGGAGTCTATACAACTCTGACATACAGACCTTCATTTCTTCCAGACCTTGGAGTGGCCAGGTCTGTCTTCTGATTGGATGTCCTGGCTAGGGCCCAGGGTCCTTGACTGTCATGGGCAGGAATTGGAAACCTTCCTTCTAAGGCTAAAAATACGGTGTTCAATAAAGCAGCTGGTGACTGGTATCTTGCAGCACATGTTGAATGTGGTCTCAGGACTGCTGGCTAGGGTGGTGAGAAAGGAAGAGCCCTGGGGCCTACGCTGAGTATCAGGCCGGGGGAGCCAGGACCTCTTTCCTCTTTTCCAGAGGGGCTGTTTGAGCAGATGCTCCTGACACTTCACCCCTTTAACCAGTCCTTTGGAGTTACTTTTATTATTTTAAAGACTTATTTTTATATATTGGGTGTTTTGCCAGCTTGTATGTATATGCATCATGTATGCTTGGTGCCAGGTCAGAAGAGGGCACCACCCGCCCTGGACGGGAGTTGAGGTAGTTCTAAACTACCATATGCACATGTGCACATCAGAGGACAGTGGGTGAGAGCTGGTTCTCTCCTTCTAGCACGTCAGTCCCAGGGACTGAACTTGGGCTGCCAGGCTTGGCAGTAAGTCTCTACCCACTGGGCCATCTCACAGGCCCCTTTCAGGCCGTGGCAAGTGTGGGCTGAGGGTGGGTGGGGTGAAGACGGGCTCGTGAGACGCCACATGAGGAGTAGTGCTGGTCACTACAGGACAGAGGGCAGCAGTGGAGCCCTGTGAGGTAGGGGTGTGGGGACGCAGAGCCCAGCTGTGCAGTTACAAGAAAAGATCTTAAGCCAGTCACACAAATCACCAGCATTTATTTCCTGGGCCTAAGTATCAGTCTCTTGGTACAAAGGGCAAAGAATTGGTCAGTTAGTTTTGAGTCCAAATCCTTTCCCAAAACTGGATCTGTGAGGCTCCGTGAGGGAACTTAGAGCTGCATAGGTCATCAGAACTGAGCTTTAAACGGCTTTCAAAACAAAACCAAAAACCAAAACAGAAAAAAGTGATTGTCAGCTCCCCTCTCTCTGAAAAAGTTATGTTTTTAAAAAATGTAAAAGAGGCTTTAAAAAAGGGCTAGGAAGATCTTCCCGACAGATGGCTAGCTGGAGGGGTGAGTGGCTGACGGGACAGTCCCTGTCCAGGACAGTCCCTATCCAGGTGGCAGCTGCTCACCTAGAGGCAGGGCCTGGCTTGAGCCCCACCTAGCTGAATAAATAACATCTTGTGGTGCTAGTGTCTTCGAAGTGTACCTGGGCACCGTGGGGAGGTGGGGAGGAGTGGAGCCTGTGGTGTGGGTGGAGGGCTTTGCTGGAGTGGGGGCCACAGAGGACTCCATGATCCTCTCAGTCAGCCTGACTGGCCAGGGCTCCAGTCCAGGAGGTACAGCAGGTCTCTTCTAGCCTGTAGGACACAGGCAGACTCAGGACGAGGTGTTCGTGTCATTGCTCTCGGGCTGGCTGCTGGCTTCTTTGTCTGGGGTACTTCCCTCTGCCTGTCCTTCTGCATGGGAGAAGAGGAGTAAGTTTTCTTCTTTCACTCGTTTATACACTGGGAAGCACAAAGAGCCTGGAAGGACCAGCCAAACTGACCACCGAGGCCAGCCTTGGAAGCAGGCTAACACTAGGGAAGGAGGGACCAAGGCCAGAGAGGCTCTCATGTCTCAATGTTTACCATGGAAAGGCTGCCAGGGCTGCTACTGTCATAAAAGTCAGGAAGTCGGGATTATGGACATGTTGAGCATGTGCTCTCTAGAAGGGAGAATGTTAAGTTCCCACAGGAAGTATGTGCTTAGCAAATGGGAGTTTCCTCGAACACCATATAGGAGACTCAACCAGTGGGCAGCTCAGGAGTGCTCACTGTGGCCTGCACATCCCAAGGTAGAGAGAGGATGCCTGACTCTGAACACCACTGGCGGCATCCACCCCTGCTCTATTCCAGCCAGCCAGAAACCTGGGCTGGAGTAAGGGACAGCAGCGGGCTGAGAGGAGCCACCTGGCCTGGCCAGCAAGTCCCTACCTGAGCTCTTCTCACTCGAAGCTTATCTGAAGCCCTGCTGTGAGGTGGGACCAGCAGCTTCTGCCTTACCCACTTGATAGCAGCTTGTACTCTGTTCTTCAACCCTCCCAGGCCAGTTATGGGCAAAACTCAATCAATAATGCAGTCTCAAGCCCCAGTGACCCTGGTGCCACTGAAGGTACATGTCATTCTGCCTAGGCCTGTCTTTATGTCTATGTTAAGCTCTGGGTCTGGCATTCTGTCAAACAATCCACACAGCAACCTGAAGGTGTGGTTAGGGTCATGATGCCCATAAGAAAACAGGCTCAAAGGGGTGAGTTGATGTACCTGCAACCAAAGGGGAGAGCTTGCTTAATGCTGGGCCCCACTTCTTCCTCTAAGCTGCATTCTCTGGCATTTATAGAGGCGTGCATTGCCCCACACAGCAGTCTTTGGCCCTGAGTGTTCATGGAAGTAAATACTGTGGACAGAATTTGGCGCTGTAGCTCAAGTATGTGCCAATCTGAGCCTGCTTGTCCTGAAGCAGCCTCCTTTGAGGATGGTGGCTGAACCAAGATTCTGCCACAAAGTTATTTTGGCCTCTAGAGGCCTAACACCCCTGAGGTAACACTTGCATTTGTGAAGCCTCCATGAGGTGGGACCCTTTAAACTCCCCCATTGTCTCTGTTCTGTTACTCCACTGCCAGAGACTGCAGACAAATAACTTTGCAGTAACCAACCTGGCAGGCATGAAGACATCCTGAAGAGACTCTGTCCCTCACCTTGGCTGTCAAGACTATTGAAACATTGGGCCCCCAAGAAATTATATATTCCCAAAGATCTCCTGCTGAAGAAGAAGAGCCTGAGCCAACCAGAGCGACTTTTCTCCAGGAAAGAGTTCTGTAACTTGCCAGCGCTTGAGGATAGTGGGCCCTGCACAATGAAGGATCAGTGATGGGCAGGACCACACCTTGTGCAGGACAGCTTGGGTGTGCACAATGCTGGCCTCTACTTAAACCTGCCCTCATGGCAGAGCCCCAAAGATGAACTTGGAGGGATCACTTGACCTCTCTGTCCCTCTTCCCAATGTGGCCACACTGAATAAATTGCCTTTTGTTGTTCTTTATTTTCATTTGGCTTTTTTAAATTTTATTTTTACTTTATGTGTATGAGTGTTTTGCTTGGATGTATATATGTGAACCACATGCATGTGTGGAACATTTGGAAGTCAGATGGTATTGTATCTCCTGAAACTGGAGCTACATATGCTGCAAGCTGCTATGAAGTGGTCTTAACCACTGAGCTTAACCACCAGCTCCTAATTCGGCTCTTTTAATTGGTTTATTGAGGACTGATGTCTAAATCTGGCTTGATGGAACATAGGTTGTGACCCTAAGTCCTCTCTGACAATCATACTTCCTCTGGGCCAGCCCCAGCCCTCACTTAGTTAGGAAGAAAGTCCTCTCCCATCAGTCCTAGGGAGGAAAGAAACTGTGCTGCCCAGGGTCAGTGCACCCTCATCTCCACGGCTGGCCTATGGCTTCTCTTCCTCTTAGGCAAAGTAAAGCACATGTGCTCCATGTCTGAGAAGACAGCGGGGACAGACAGATGTGTGCACTGCATGCTGGAGTGCTGACAGAGCCAGCAGGCCACAGGCTTGGGGAGACCAGGTAGCTCTTTACTCATACCCTATGGGGACTACAGTCCTGTTCTACTCAGGCTATGCATTAGTCCCTGAAAGTTGTGGCAGAGAAAACTCTGGGGCCCTTGACCTGTGGGTCAGAATCTGGGGGATGGCATTTAAGGCTCTGTCTTCCGCTTATGTGAAGCTGCTGGGCTCAGAAATGCCTGGAGACACTTTACTGTGAGGCATCCTCACAGAAGGCTTCTCATAGCTGGTCCCCTTGCCTTGATTCTGTCAGAGGTGGCTCAGTCCCTGGCAGCAATCACGTCTGTCTTCATGTCTCATTTTACACATCAGTCATGGTGGCTAGCAAGCATCATGTACTGGGAGGACCCAAATACCACAGACTCTCAGTAAGGGCAAATGGTACTGTAAAGGGCTGTATGAGGGGTCTAGTAGCTGTGATGGCTAAGGATGAAGGAAGGCAGCAAACAAAGCTGATGAGAGCTGAACAGAGCACAGAAGCCTTGAAGAAACCCTTGGCACTGTGCCTGGTGTGCCAGCTGGACGCTCAGTGGGCTGGACAGTGAGCAGCGTTGAGTAGGTACCTTCACGTGCCAAACACTGCTAGTCACAGAGGGCATGAGACAGCCTGTGCTGGAACAGCTCAGTTCAGAGAGGGTGCTTACAGGGCCATGGGGCACCTCTGCTTAGGACCAGCTGTGGTCAGGGAAGGCCTTAGCACTAAAGGCACCACAATGAGAAGCAACCGCCAGAAGCAAAGCCTGCAAGCCTTTGTTCTGGCTGGGAGAGAACAAAAGGTGGGGAGTAAGAGTGGGGGCTGCAGAGGGGGATGGGTGAACATTGTGCAGGTGTCCATACTTGAACAGAAAGCAGGGACCAGCACAAGGAAGGCCAACAGGGCCTTGGCCTGGGAAACTGGGTGAGGCTCTGGGGGTAAGGGGCAGGGTACTCTCGAGGCATAGGACTGTCATACCAATGATAATCATTTGCTGGGTGAGCCTAGGAAACTCCAGTTTCTCTTGGCCTCGGTTGATCTATTACATGAGAGACTGGGTCCCTGCCCCCCAACATCTTCCCTTTTCCGTGTTCCTAAGTCACTTCTGAGCAATGAGGACTAAGAACTCTAGGGTGGGGCCACTCAGACAAAGACAATGTTATGGCCCAGCAAGGATAGCACAGTAGGAAGCTGTAGTGCACCATGGGAAGTGATACGGCAAGCATGGCTCTGAGCCTGCAGCAGGGAAGAGGTAGGAAAGGCTTCTCAAGGAAGGGTCTTTGGCTAACTGTGGACCTGAGCTGAACACAGACCTCTGAGAACAGAGGGGAAGTGAGGAGCGGGGTGTTCCAGGGAATGCTGGGTCCCCTCAGTTTCTTCATTGGGTCATTTTGCCTGGGGTCACAAACTGCCTGCCATGTGCAAGTATAACAGGGCTCCTCTCTCCTGAAACTAAAGAAATGAGGCCTTTGAGAGTAATGTGGCTGGGGCACACTTGCTCAGGAGGCCTCTGAGAGCATCTGCTAAGCTGGCTCTGGGAATGAAGGGACAGCAGGTGGCCGCAGCTCCACTGGGGTTGTTCTAGACAGAGGCAACAGTGAGTGAGGTGAAGGCCCTCACAAGGAATCCCTGACCCTTTAGAGAGAGGCAAACAGAGATGGGCGAGTGGGGTAGGGTGTAGATGGGATCCAAGGCCAGGCAGGCTAGCCAGCAATGCATGACTTCTGGGGAGCACTGAAGAGTACCTTGGCTCTGAGACATTACCATGAAGTCTGGGGCAGAAGTCTGACAGGACAGGACAGGCTAGCTAATCTTGCTGTCTGCTGTGTAGGGAAAGCATGAAGTCCAAGTGAGCAGGTAAACATGGCGGCTGTGCTGCTGAGGAGCCGCTGAGGAGCCACTGAGGCATGGAACACTGGGAGTCAGGATTCATTACAGAAATCTAACAGGACTTGGAGTTGGAAGTGCCCTAGATATTCAGAGCCCTTGGAACCAGGATGTGGCACTCTACCCTAGACATTGCCTGGGCTCTGCCAACAATTGCAAACAGTCCCAATTTAAATGCAGCTGCTTCCCTGAGGAAAGTGTAGGGCCTGGAGCCTAGCAAGAGCTGACAAACTACCTCCCCACCTGCCCACCAGGATGCTGGGGCATTGGCTCTGACCTGTCCCAAGTGCGAGCTCGCCCATGTCTCCAGCGAGCTTCCGCACGCTCACGGCCTCTGAGTCACCCTGGATGTCAGGGACTGCATTCCGACGGCCTGTCCGGTCGCAGGAGATGAAGTCTGAGTAGGAGGACTCGACTTCCATCATGCCTGTTGCATCACTCCTCAGGCCTGTTGGGACAGGGGCAGAAGTGAAACATCTTTGTAACGCCACAGTTAGACAACTCCTACCCACATCTTACAGAACAAGCAGGAAGCCAGGCATGGTGGTGCATGACTAATCTTATCACTTGGGAGGCAGAGCTCTGTGAGCTCTAGGCTAGCCTGGTCTACCTAATCAGTTATAGGACAGCAAAGGCTACATAGAGAGACCTGTTTTATTTTTTAAAAGAAAGAAACAAAAAAGCAAAAAGAGAGTGAGGGAGAAAGGGAATAAAGGAGGAAGAAGGGGGGAAGGAGAGAGAGAGAGAGGAAGGGAGGGAAGACAGAGAGATAAGACATGCATGAGGGTCAGGAAGATGGCTCAGCGGGTAAAGGAGCTTGCCGCCAAGCCTGAGGATCTGAGTTCAATCCCCAGACACCACGTGGTAGAAAAACAGAACTATTGCAGGGTCTTCTCTGACCTTCACACTTGCACTGTGTGCCTTGTGTATGTACACACACACATACACACACGCATACCAAAATAAATGTAAAAACACCTAAGAACATGCATTCCATCTTGATCCAAAGTAAAGCTGATGACAGCTTTCCACGCTCACCATAGCACGTGGCCAGCACTGTCTGGGGTACAGATGGAGAGGGCGCACAGAGCAAGCCAGCACATTCCCACCTCACAGATCTTACAGTTCACTGCATCCAATGCCAAGACATCATCACTTAGCCCTTGACTGCGTGGTCAGGGTTTCAAGGGCGCTAGAGCGATGGCCAGGACCCAACCAAGACTCGGAAATGGAATGCAGCATGTCAGCCAGCATCCAAGAATGGCATGGGAAGAATCTGGGCATGGTAGTTCACACCTGTAACTCTAGCACTGAAGAGACTGAGGCAGGAGGATTGCTGTGAGTTTGAGGCCAGCCTGAGCGACACAGTTGCAAAGTGAGCTCTGGGATAATAGAATGAGACCTTGTCTCAAGTAAAATTGTAAAATGAAGAGAGGCAAGAATTGTAAGAAGAGAAAGAAAGGGTGTACAAGGAGCGGCCTGAGGAAGGGAGCAGCGAGTACTGAGGCTCTGAGAAAAGGATGGGGTGGGGCACAAGAGCAGGAAGGTCTCGCAGGAGGGACAATGACAGGGAGGACACTGAGGGTTGGAAGAGCACCCTGGAGGGGTTTTAGGTAAGATCTCGAAGACGAGCTGTGGATGGGGTAAGTTAGGAGGCTTCTGGGGAGTCAGCTGTGAGAACACAGCAGGGGCTAAGCAGACACCAAGATGGATTCTAGACACAACCTGGAGAACAAATATGTGGGCAGTTTCTTCTGACAGGGAGCTTTGGTTTCTGACTTAAGTCAGGAGGTGGAGGGAAGGAGGTATTGCTACTGATATGGGACCCAGGAGGGGCCCAGAGAGGAGCATTTGGGACACCAGGTGGGTGGAAAGCAACCGTTCAAGGGTAATTAATTCCCTGTTGGCTTCAAATTCCCATGAGCTCTCAGATGGGAAAGGTGAGGAGGGCACATGGAGGAGGCTGGAGTGGGAACACAGGCATGAGACCAGGAACGCTCAAAGGCATGTGGTGGACAATGGTCTAGAGTAGAGAGACCACGGTTCGAAGGAAAGAATACGGTAATAAACCAGACCATACATTAGACTTCACAGCCAGTTCTCTGAAGCAAAGACCCTCAGTTTCCAAATGAAGGCTGGAGTTCCCCCTGCATCCAGCAGATGGCGCACCCCGCCTGTCTTTCTTAGCTGTGGTGAGCACCAGAGCTACAGTGAAAGCCTCCACTGAAAACTCCTGGAAGTGGCTCCTTCTGCTGGTCACTCTGCCTCCCCTTCCTTTGGGGAAACTGTTCAAAGCCTCAGCACAGAGGAACGGCCTGTTGCGATGCTGATGACACTGTCTACAAATGATGAGACTGCAGCAGAAAGAGTAGTAAGGATAGTGGCCAGGCGCTTGCTTCATGTCTGCCACTCTCAACGGTCCCACCCCGGATATAAGCACTGTGTATGTGTAGCTTTATAACCTGACTTGGAAAGGTCTCAGGCTGGTCCGTGGTTCCTAGGCTCAGATGTTTCCCTAGGTGAGACCAGTTGCCCACGGGGTGGGTCAAACCCTGGGCTGCCCACAGCATCTGTTGCAGCCTCTTTCCTCAGCTCTTTTCCAGTTAGAAAGTCAGTTCCATGAAAAGGGATTTGTGTCTGGATTTTCAATGCACCAGACTGAAAGGCCTGATCTTGGCAGCTGAGCCAAACCCGCTCTGCTGCTTCCTTCCAAGATGCTGGGCTCGGCACCTGCTACAGAGGAGTGCGCTATAAATACACCTGGATCACACAGCTTCTCATCCACCCACCCGCCCACCCACCCATTCTCTCCTCCATTCCCTATCTGTGGGATGACAGAGTGACCCCAGGGACTGCAGGGAAGGCTCTGCCTGGCAGAGTGCTGCACTGCTCTCACTATCTCCAGGATCTGACACCAGCAGATGGGGTTACCTACAGAGCTAGCCTGCTGGCCTCTCACTGGGACAGACTCCCTAGGGCTCTAACCTTGCTCTTCCTATGTCTGACTTTTGAGCTACCCAGGCAGAAAGCTGATGCTGTTGGCACTGCCAAGCCCCAAACCCAATCCTGGAAAGCATCCATCTTCATCCTCAGGAACCGTGATTCCAAACACAGCTCTGGGGAGTTTTCCAACTCAACACACAAACACCAAAATTCATTGTCTTCCATGACTGTATTCTTCATGCTATGGAGGCATAGGCTTAGAATTACAGCTACTTAGAATGCCAAGGGAGGATGATTTCTGGTCCAGCTAGCCTGAGGTACATAGGAAGATATCATCTCGACAGACAGACAAGCATGAGGAAATGTTCATGTATACTGTAAGTGAAATAAAATCATATAGTCACATATGAGTATTTAACTTTGTTTTTTTCAAGACTGCTCTGTGTAGCCTGGCTGCCCTAGAACTCACTCTGTAGACCAGGCTGGCCTCAAACTCAGAAATCCACCTGCCTCTGCCTTCCAAGTGCTGGGATTAAAGGTGTGTCCTACCACAGTCTGGCTTTTCTCAAACTTGGGATCCTCCTGCCTCCACATCCTCCAACAAATCCTTACAGTGTATGTCACCACAACCACTGATTGATTTTTAAGTATTTATATTACTTTTTCTTTTTATATTACTCTACCTTTTTAAGACTGGGTCTCATGTAGCCCAAGCTGGCCTTGAACTCAAAATGTAACCAAGCTGGCCTGATCTTCCTGCCTCTATTCCCCAACTACTGGGATTAAAGATATGTACCATACCTGACTTACCTTCTCAATCTTCTTCTGGGAAATGGTTTTGCTTTTACTATTAACTATTATTAGCGCTGAAGATGTGACCCAATGCCTTCTGCATACTAGGTAAGTATCCTATCATTCCACAACACCCTAGCCCATAAATTATCAAATCATGTATCCAAGAGGAGGAAAACTCAAAAGGCACAAATGGAAAGATGCAAGAACTGGGTGTCTCCACCCTGTTTCAGACACTCCCCTCCAGCACAATCTATCTTGGGTCCTTGGTGATACAGAAAACCCCTCCCCCCTTCTTCCTTCTCTTCCTTTTCCCTTAAGTTTTTTGTAAAGAAAATTTTCATCTGTTCTTTTTTTTTTTTTTTAATCTTACTATTACTCTGTGTACATGACGTGAGTGTAGGTGTGTGGGAGCCACAGTGCTCATTCGGAAATCAGAGGACCTCTTTGGGGAGCTCTCCTATGCATTCTGGGGTCTGAACTCAGGTAGTCAGGCCTGTGAGGCAAGAACATTCACCCACAGCTGGGCGGTGGTGGCGCACGCCTTTAATCCCAGCACTTGGGAGGCAGGGGCAAGCGGATTTCTGAGTTTGAGGCCAGCCTGGTCTACAGAGTGAGTTCCAGGACAGCCAGGGCTACACAGAGAAACCCTGTCTCAAAACAAAAACAAAAAAAAGAACATTCACCCACGCTGGGCAGTGGTGGCACACGCCTTTAGTCCCAGCACTTGGGAGGCAGAGGCAGGCGGATTTCTGAGTTCAAGACCAGCCTGGTCTACAGAGTGAGTTCCAGGACAGCCAGGGCTACACAGAGAAACCCTGCCTCCAAAAACCAAAAAAAGAATGTTTACCCACTAAACCATTTTGCTGGGCATCTTTTCTTTTCTTTTTGAGAAAGGGCCTCACACTATGGACCAGGCTGGGCTGGAACTCACTATATACTCTAGGTGGGCCTCCAACTCAACAGCAATCCTCCTGCCTCCACTTTGCAGATGCTTGGATTACAGACATGCACTATCATGACTGGACAAAACTTTATTTTTATCTTGCTTTTCTTCATCCAAGCATATGTCTTAAAAACAAGTCCAAATTACCCTGAAACCCTGTACAACGATTATATCAAAACACTAAAAACATATCCAAGGTCCACCCAGCCCTCAGCTGCCATTAGCAGCTGTGTGATCCTCTGCGGTCACAGCTGCAGACTGATTTAATCACCCTCCCCAAAGATTTGGAGTTTCTTTCCTTAAAAGCAGACAGACCACATCAAAGGCTCGTTCCTGTCCTAAGTCCTGCCCAAGGCCCCTCCAGATGCTGTTTTATTTTCCCTCCCATTTCAAGCAACCTTGTGCTGCTAAAACAAAGTACCTGAGCAGAGTACCCTCAGCCCCATGCTTCACATGAGACAGACCGGAGACAGAATCAAGAATTTTAAAGACCTCAATCATTCTTTTGTGGTCTCCTCCCACGAGGGAGAACACTATCTTTCTTGTCTTGTACCCTCAAGGCTGTTCCAGTGCCTGCACGCAGTGGGTACTTCATACTTACTGAATAAATAACAGCAAACTATTAATAGCCTGAGTCCTGCTCCCGAGTGGCACGCTGGGTCACCGACAGCACCCTGTGCACAGGACTCCTCTAACCTCCACTTGAGAAATGAGGAAACTGAAGCTGGGGCTGGAGCGACTTCTCAGATCACCTTGCCCCCTCCATG